CGAGAAGTCACTTCCACTTGTTATTTCCACCAACACCATCGGGAAGTAGGTTTGGGGACATCCTTTATGAGTCTCTCTGCACAACTCATGAGAGCCTTATGATTTTATTTGGCTCCACGTTTGTGAGTATTGGAATTTATCTCATATTATCCACTATACTCCTACGGTATTATACTATGTAATATACTCTCCACAGATTCGTCTAAAGTGTTCCACCTATTCTATGTATTTATAGCATGGGGGGATAGTGGTTGTAGTGGATAAAGGATAAAGGAGTGATAGGGACTATACTGGGTGCTGGACAGTATAAGGGTTGTAGTGGGTCCAGTGAGGGGCTGTGGTTGGTGTAAGGAGGTGGAGGTGGAGGGGTAGTGGCTGAGGTGAATGCAAGGAGGGATAGGGGCTGTGGTGGGCAAGGGAGGGAAAGGTTCTGAGGTGGGTGCTAGATGGGTTAGGGCTAAGGTGGGTGCTGGGGGAGATTGGGGCACAGGGTGGGATAGGAACTGAGGTAAGAGCTGAGGAGATGAGGGCTTAGAGGGAGATGGGCAATGAGGTAGGTGGAGGGGCCATGGGGGTTTACATGGGTGCTGAGAGAGATGGTGGCTCAGGGTTGGATAGGGGCTGAGGTGGGTGTTGGGGAGATGGTGGCTGAAGTAGGTGCTGGGGAAATGGGGGCTGAGCTGGGTGCTGGGGGTGATTGGAACTAAGGTGAGTGAAGAGGGAGATGGCTGCTGAGATAGGTGCTGGGGGAGATGGGTGGAGGCTGAGATGGGTGTGGGGGGAAAGGAGGCTGAGGTGGGTGCTGGGGGAGATGGGGAAGATTGGGCTGAGGCAGATTCTAAAAAGAGATGCTGGATTTATATACCTGCTGTTCCTGCCTGGTTGCACCTTTTCTTCAGCCACTCAGCAGATTTAGCAGGAGAGAAGGGGGCAGGAAGTGATGTAACTTCCCCTTTCCAGGCCCCACCTCCTCCCCTCACACGGAGCTCCTCACAGGGAGATGATGAGGAGACCTGGCAAAACCAGGATTGCTGCCAGGTCTCACTCGGTAAGTGATGGGGACTGGGGCGGCCACCCTGAAAGAAGAGGGGTTTCCGCCACCAGAGATATCCTTTCCCCCTAGCATGAGTAATGCTGAAGTATTCCCAAGCAGTAATCCAAGCGGTAATAAAGCAGGTATAGCTGTTCCTTACAATCACGAGATGAGGCTCTGTGTTTAGGGTGAAATTGAACATGCAAGGGGTTTTCCATGACATATTCCATGGGCATTCCCCACTGGACCTGAGAGGGGACTGTGACAAAGTACACATTGTAATTCCATTAAGTCTCAGGTCCAGGACATACATAACAAAAACACCCCAAAATATACACTTAACAATTAGGTCCCCCCTCAAGCCCTATATCCCCGGATAGCCTGGATCTGAGCGCCCAGCATATCCAACATATCCACTGCGCTAGAGGGGAGGCCCACCAAAAATTCTTGTACCAGGGCCCACTCTATATTTGTTCTGCCACTGTGTTGGGATGGAGGGTGTAATTGCATGCAAGGGGGTGGAAGTGTGGGGGTGGAGGGGAGGGGAGGATCCAGGAGGCCCAAGCAAATGCTTGCCCAGTGTCCAATCAATGTTAAAGATGGCCCTGCTTACATTGCAGTACTAACTCTGCCTCCAGCATCAACAAAAACCTTATAGGAAAGCATTGAGACAACCGTCCAGACGCTTCCGACATTTTTGGGTGCACTTTGGTCTAGGTGCCGGGGTTCTTCACCGCATCAGGAGTCTCTTGGAAGGGTATCCTGTGACTTTCTGAGGGCCATCAGCCTGCCGACATCCCCTGATCCTGCTCTCCAGAACTCTGTAAAGCTGATGTTGAGATACATTTCAAAGTCAGTCTGTGCTTCATTGAAGTGGGTGAGACATGTGGTCTCTGACATTTTGAGTAAGTAAAGCAGAATTATCTCGCATGGAAGGCTTCACACCCTTTTTCCTGCTAGGTTACGGTAGCCTCTCAAGTGTGTACCGGGATCACCCCCAGTGGTGTATCCTGGTTTTGTGCTGCCCTAGGCAGGTCAAAACTCAGCCCCCGTGCCACCCCACCCAACCCTTCCCACCCCACCTTCTAAATACACACACACACAATCAGACACACACACACACACACAAACACACAGTCAGACACAAACACACAGTCTGACACACACACACACACACAGTCAGACACATACACACACACAAACACAGTCAGACACAAAGACACACACAGTCAGACACAAACACACACACACAGTCAGACACAAACACACACAGTCAGACACAAACACACACACACACCTCAGTCACAAACACACACACACACACACAGTCAGACACAAACACACACAGTCAGACACAAACACACACACACACACAGACAGACACAAACACACACACACACAGTCAGACAGACACAAACACACAGTCAGACACAAACACACACACTGTCAGACACAAACACACACACACACACACAGTCAGACACAAACACACACACACACACACACACAAAATCACTCACATTTACTTTTTTTTAATCCCCTCCCCAGCCTCCTTACCTTTGGGAGTGCTGGGGGGGGTCCCTCTCTCCCTGGTGGTCCAGTGGCTGCCGGTCGGGCTGGGCAGCGCTGGCTGCTGTGCGGGCGGCTGGCGAGGGAGCTCTTCCTCTGAGCTGACTGCTCAGCTCCCTCGCACCGCAGAGTGAGGCTGGGAGCTGGAATATGACGTCATCAACCCGGCTCCCAGCCTCACTCTGTGGCGCGCGAGGGAGCTGAGCAGAGCGCTCAGCGGAAGAGCTCCCTCGCCAGCCGCCCAGCCCGCCTGGCATGTCTGTTAGCCGCAAAGGCTAACAAGGCATTTGCCCTGGGCATTTGGGGGCGGCGTTTTTTGCCGCCCCCTGAAAAATGGCGCCCAAGGCAAATGCCTTCTTTGCCTCGCAGCTAATATGCCCCTGGTCGAGTGCCTGATAATAGTTCCATACACTTGAAGACCAAACAGACTTTGGCATGAATCCTCTCATTACCTTAGCTACTGTTCCTCTTTTTGCTTGTATTAGCCCCTCTGGCTTCCTGGACAGATACTCACCTGTCTCCTATTTCACCATACTGGTATAATCTCCAAACTCCCTGAAAACAGTTTTTCTTGCTGTATAATAGCCAGGCGGCATTACCTGAGGCTCAACAATAAGGTAGTTGTGATAGGAGAACTCTTAACTCTTCTGGAATGTCCTGTTCTCAAGTCACCACATCTCCATCTGCAAGGTCGTTCCACCCATATTAAATACACCACATAAAACAAAGGCATGGGCTGCCTCTGTTACTCTTTCTTCAGTATGAGGTGGGCTGAAGTGTGGAGATATAACATTGGGGACATGACAACATTTCCAATATTTTCTGTCAATGTTATCTTCATTTTGCATCATTTGTGAGATCAAACTACACTTGCTGACAAAAGAATATCCCTGCTGGACAGTTTTGGGCTACTGTTGAGAGCATAATAGTGATATGAATGCTAAATGTGTTTTTGAACTGATACATTACTGAGCTATAGGCTGTATTTGTATGCTGCAAGTTGTCAGCCAACAATGGAATGATAACAACTTATTACATAACAAGACATTTATTTACCAAACTATATTGAAAATAAGAATTGTCAAACATTCGAAATACTTTCCTCAAATATTTTGTCTACATGTTATCAATGATACAATGGTAAGTATTAACTTTTCCCCCTATGTTTTACTTAGACTTCTGCAATTAAAAAAACGAAAACAACCTATGCTTCCTGGGAACAAGAAAAACACACAACAACTGAAATAGAGGGACACAAAGCATATAATATAATAACAGTGGACATTGCCTTAAAATGTTCTGTTTAACATCAGCTTAGAATATATAGCAAACAGTTTTCTAGAGGATGGATCTAAACCAAAACATAAGAGTGATCTTGGAGGAAATTAGATGTACTCTGTTATACACCTCCAGCCTGTGTCTGTAACCTTCTGATAGGGCCCTATAAATTGCCAGAAAGTTCCATCCGCAAGAGACAATCACAATATATAAATAGGAACATCACTCAATGCAGCCAAGGGTGTTAAACTAGACTACGGGCAAGCACAAGCCCAAAATAAATACCAGTAAGAGAGAAGTCCAGGCACTCCTATAGCTTCAGACACTTTTATTGGAACATGAGGAATACTGCAAGGTTTCGACCCAAGATTGAATCTTTGTCAAGCTACCTTACACCCAGCAAAACAAACATTTATAAAAAATAGTGAAAGTGCATAACTTCATTTAAACAATTAAGTTAACAATGAATAATCCATCAACTAGATAATCAAAGGATTTTCTCGTATTGTTTGGTACTCACAATCCGGCAAAAACTGTCTTCAGGGCTCATCTGTATGGCTGTACATAGACAAAGCCCAACATTCTAAAACAAGCTAAAAAAAATTAATATTAATACATATGGAAAAATAATAAACATTAGCATAATTTGTAGTTGCACACAGTAATGTCCTGCAACTCTCACTTCTTAGTATAAAGGACGTGTTGTAGCGGATGGCACTGGGCTGTCGTGGAAATTGCATATGTTTGAATGTATTCGTTTAAATTGCAGGGTTATATGTGTAAAAATAGGTTGTATTCGTCTGATTGTTCGGTAGAATCATTCTAGCAACTAAGGGAATGAAACTACCAAACAGTCAGACCTCCACTGTGTGAAGTGTGCCTTAAATTACCCGTTGCAACAATGTTGCAAATGGGTAATTGACAATCTGTGCAGTGGGTCCTTTGTTCTCGGGGGTGGCCGCCATTCGGGAAACGAACACGTGGCGGCGGCCATTTTAAAACTCCCGAACAGCGGTGTTTTGCCGTCGAGTGTCTGGAACCCAAATCGGACACTCGGCTAGGCAAACACCGCTGAGATCTCCATACGCATGATACGTTCGCTTCCAAACTACCGAACGGTCCCTCGTTCGGTAGGAAGAAACAACCGAACGAGGGGATTCATGTGAACCCTCCCTGATCTCTGTAACCTTAGCCTTTCATGCAGTTTGTTCCCTTATACTGTGACCGACCGCAGGGCCCCATCGCATGGAACCCAATTCGGCTGTTCTCTCCAGCGCGGTCGGTCTTTTCATTACCTCCACAAATTTCCCGAACCCCTGGTCCGATCTGGGTGATTTTTGGATATGTTGCTCACCCAGATCAGGGATACTGGGGATGTGCCATGTGCTAGATTTAGGGGTACATCCAGAAACTGGGGGAATTTGTGTACCGTATAAGGGGATTATGAGTCAGGCTGAGGGGAGGAGATGTGTGGGAGGTTACCAGAACAGGATTGGGTACTGTAATAATTAATGGAAATCCCTCCCTTGCATGGGAGCATGCTTTAAAAGGCCACTGTGGAAATAAAAGTTTAGTTCTGCTCCTGATGCTGTGTGTCGTCCAGTTATTGGGATTGCTGTTGGGATATTGCTTTATTGTTTTACCTGCTGAAAACCTTGCCTTATGGATTTATAAATACTTGTTCCTGAGCCTCACTGGGATCTTAAGCGGAGATAACTTGTGGAATACTAAATCTCCACTACACGTGTCAAACACGTCCGCCGGTTTAGCCGCATGGTATAGAATTGCTTCTGTAGAATAAAGGCTTTTGTATGTTTCTGGCATTGTTGACCACTCAGCAGACAGCCAAGGAGGAACCTTTTTTATTTCAAATGTTGTTGTACCAATATGTGAAAGATCATCTGTGGTTTGTGCCATCTCATTTATCAAATTCACTGGTTGAATCAGATGATGCAAGCATAACATCTTGTGGGTTATTTAAAAGTTCCATCAAAGACTATAATGAATTGGGGGACACAATAATCAAAATCCTTTGCTCTTGGCTTTTTTTTTTTCCAGATTTTCCTTTTTTTTCTCATCCGTGTGAAAAAAGTATATTGATTGAATCATCAACTGCTAGAAAAAGATAACATTTTCCTGTGCTTGGACAAGAACACACCGCCATCTTGGATGTCTATTTCACAACATACACATTTTCATTTCTCGAATTTCTGACTAATAAATGCTTTAATTGTACATTAAACCTAACAACATACATTTCTACAGAGCTTCATGCTAAAAAAATTCTAGTTCATTTGCAGACTTTGCATTTTCTTTACAGTGCATGGATTTTCAACTGTTGTCTTTTCACTCATTTAATAATATCTTCAAGAGTAATGAAGGATGAAGTTGCTTTTTTGCCCACTTTTCTTAGGTAAGGGATGGCCTTTTTTTCAATTGTTACACAATTCACAATTTGCTCTTTCAAATTATTTGACAAAGAAGTCTGCATGTAGTAAAGTTAAATAACCATTACTCTCAGAAGGAGCTTTTTCCATTCATTTGGGGTTTTTATCATTTTCTTCATACATTGACTAATGTTGTTTATTGCACATTTGCCTCTAAAAGTTTTGAGTGATATATGACACTCATTAATCCTGGATATCATTTTTCAAGTGCATGTCAAAATATTTTTTTAAACCTCTAGTCCGAGTTTTGCTAAACTTTGAATATTTTTTTTATTGAATTCAATAGCAGTTAATTAATCAGTTGTTTGATGTCGTCTTTTAAAACATTTACATCATCGCATCCAACTTATTGTTTTTTTACCCAATACTCAACATGTCTCGGCACGTTTACATGGCAGAGAAAAGTACTAAGATGTGAGAAGTTCTTTTCCACACTTTTATAATGCCTTTTTCTCTGTCAACAATAATTTGATTTTTTTTATATCGGTCTTGAAGTCCATGTCTGATCTGCTCAATACCTCTTGCAGAAATCGTTTGTGATGTGTCATAAATTTCCGTTCATGTAACATAAAGGTCACAGGGTAAATTGGGTCATTTCACAGTATTGTATTCTTTTGAACTAAAATTGACAAATAGAAGTCACCCAGTTGATATGTGGTATCATAACTTACCGGCTGTGGATATTTGTATTTTGACATTTCTAGTATAGAACAAGACAAAGCTATAATGTCTGGTAGTCCGAGAAACACCAAAATGTCTGGAAAAGTGGTAATGTTCCAAATGAATCCATCACATTGAAAGGCAAGCTCATGCAAATTGAATATCTCATCCCTTAATATTCATTGCTCTTTCCGTTAAGAGTATATGGTATTCTGCACTTTTTTCACATTTTGTGGACAATTTATAGACATGCATTCTTGGTTTTCATCACTTTCTTTGTGGCTCAGTATTGTTTTATATATATTGATTGAATCATGTCCTGTATCATTTTTACATATATCATAAACATTGTTTTTTTTTGTAGGCAGGTAAGCCTTGCCAGTTTTTGAATTCCCATGTTTTGTACCAGTAAAGTTCTTTCCATTTCCAAGGTAATGTGTTAAGTAGTACTCTGACATAGTTTGGCTTCTGTTTTTGTTTAAGCAGTAGACATGTCTACAGACCTCTGAAGATCCAGTTTTAAGATCTTCTGTTCTAATCAGATAGTACCTTTTTAAAACAGTGCCTCCATATTTGCAAAGATTATCCATGTCTGAACCCTTTTGTTTCCAAGTATATTGGTCAAAACAAAAATCCAAATCGATCATGTCAGAGGCTCGGGTCTTGTAGACATAGAAATGATTTGCTTTTGGTAAAATGACTGGATCAGGAGATACATATTCATTATGTTCTTCAATGATTCTTAACATTGCTTCTGCTCCCTTCAGTGTGAATCCAGTAAATCCTTCTTTAAACAATGACATTTTATATTTGTTCTATGTTAAATACAAACTATAATAAAAATGTGCAGACCATCATCAGTGACCAGATGCAGTTATTCATTTATCACTGGCACACAATGCAATTCACTACTTGTAACAGCTTCACTTTCACTTTAGACTTAAGTTTTTTTAAGGGTTAGAGAGTTAAGAAACATTAATTTCGTAGTGAGTTTGCTTATTCCTGTCATTTCTCCCAATAGCATTGCAGGCATTTAGAAATGAAAGCAAGATACATTTGTGGATAACTTTCGGGTTTATTTTTTCAAAAGACCAGACATTTTGTAGGTTGTTTTGTCCAGCTAAAGTTTTGTGTCGTGGAAGGTTGGAGACAATAGATTCATACTTGAAAATATTTTTCCATATTAAGCCACTTTAAGATCCTGAACAAAATAGCTCAATGTCATTCAGCAATTGATTGTTTGAGCACTTTTTTTACACATTAAGTTACATTAAGCCATTTTCACTTTAAATATCTTAGGAAGTCCTCCATCATGGCATACCATTTGCAAATGTAGAAAACTCAGGGCACCAATATATAATTGAAGGAACACTATAAGTGCCAGTAATACAAAGCTGTATTCCTAGCACATAGAAACATAGAAACAGAAACATAGAAACATAGAATGTGACGGCAGATAAGAACCATTCGGCCCATCTAGTCTGCCCAATTTTCTAAATACTTTCATTAGTCCCTAGTCTTATTTTATAGTTAGTATAGCCTTATGCCTATCCCACGCATGCTTAAGCTCCTTTACTGTGTTAACCTCTACCACTTCAGCTGGAAGGCTATTCCATGCATCCACTACCCTCTCAGTAAAGTAATACTTCCTGATATTATTTTTAAACCTTTGTCCCTCTAATTTAAGACTATGTCCTCTTGTTGTGGTAGTTTTTCTTCTTTTAAATATAGTCTCCTCCTTTACTGTGTTGATTCCCTTATATATTTAAATGTTTCTATCATATCCCCCCTGTCTCGTCTTTCCTCCAAGCTATACATGTTAAGATCCTTTAACCTTTCCTGGTAAGTTTTATCCCGCAATCCATGAACCAGTTTAGTAGCCCTTCTCTGAACCCTCTCTAAGGTATCAATATCCTTCTGAAGATACGGTCTCCAGTACTGTGTACAATGGCATGAGCACTTCCCTCTTTCTACTGCTAATACCTCTCCCTATACAACTAAGCATTCTGCTAGCTTTTCCTGCTGCTCTATTACATTGTCTGCCTACCTTTAAGTCATCAGAAATAATCACCCCTAAATCCCTTTCCTCATATGTTGAGGTTAGGACTCTATCAAATATTCTGTACTCTGCCCTTGGGTTTTTACTATTGCTCCCTCCACTCCCCCCTACTTGCGCCCACCCACCAACGTGAATAAAGGGTTAAAAACCCTTTATTTATTTATCTTACTCCAGTGCCAATGTCCTTCAGCACTGGGTCACAGCTCTGCTCCCTCCAACGTCCCACAACGAGCAGGCTCTCATGCGAATGTGCGGCAAATGCCTTTATTGAAGCAGTTTCAATGTCACAACAACAGTCACTAGTTCAATAAGGGGGGACCTGGCAGTATAATGTTCCCACCATGTCCCCATTCATGACTGGTGGGTCCCCATTATTTGCTTATTTAGGGTCCCCACCCGCTGCTCATGGGTTGGGACTAGGGGGGACATTAGGTCCCCCCTTTAATTAATTACGTATCCCACCAGCTCATGGGTGGACCTGGGGGGGACATAAGGTAACCGCCATTATTTATTTATGGTCCCCACCCGCTGCTCATGGGTATGGACCAGGGGGGGACCTGTTCATATAAATAGCCCCCCCCCCCCAGGTGTCACAGGTGGGGATGTGGGGAAGCACTATGTCCCATTTTAGTTATTTGTTTTGCCCACCATGGCGGAATGGGCCAGGTCCCCCCTTATTGCACTAGAAACTGGGCAGCAGGAGATGCCCAGTCACTGGTACTTTTAAATTTGTTTAGGTGACATTCCGCGAGAAGGGGCATGTGGGAGGAATTAACCTCTCTGTTACGTACAGCGCTATGGAATTTTGCTGGCGCTATATAAATAATAAAATAATAATTATTAATAGGGGGGTCATAGTGACCCCCATAGGTTTTAATGCAGGATAATAGATATTTATTACAAGGAGGGAGCCGGTAGCACTGCCGGCTCGCTCCTTGGTTTGTTTTTTTTCGCAAAAGCGCAGTGTTCTTTCTCTATGCTGTTGGGGTTAATTCCCCTATTAATTGAATGAAACGAACTGGAAAAGGTAAGTCATTCAGCATTTGCCCTTTCATTTTGTTAATATTTAGTTTGTAGGGCTTTCTTTATGTTTTAGCAAACAAATACGAAAAAATCCAAATTTTCTGACCTAATTGTATTCGTACGAAAACGAATGCACATGTCT